TGGTACTTGTCCTTGTTCTTGCTGGTGATGAAGAACATGAAGATTTTGTTGTTGTTGTCTCTACTCGCTTCGTTGACAACTCCGATGCACTTTCTGAATCTCCTCCTGTTTTATTTTTCAAATTAAAGTAAGGTTTAAAATATGATCGGGAAAATAAAAATAAAAATTCTTGAAAATGTTGATAAAGTCTCATTTTCGCAGCTTTTTACTAGTAAAAGTGTAAAACCAAGAAAAATGTTCAAGGTTTAAATTAAAACACTTTTCAAATAAGATTTATCCGACGTTTATGGAAAATTCTTATAATGGTCAAAATTGTGAATAATACTATAAAAAATTTCAAATAAAGTGAACTAAATAGTTTAAAATGTTGACCAATGACCAAAGTTTTACCAACTCATTTGCAGTTAAAGTCGGAAACTACTCGCATGAGATTACCCTTTTGGCAAAATTTCAAAGGAGATTCAAAAAGCAATTGGTTACGTTTCAAATAATTTTTTTTTTTTGAAAAATATATATGGAACTTAAATAGACAAATATATAATAATATTATTTGGTAGACTCACCTGAGAAGTAGTAGTCATCGTCAAGGATTAGATAATCATAAAGATCTCGATCAAGAACCGAAACCGGACTCGCGTTAGACTTATTCTCCGGCGACTCACTCTCTTTTCCGATAAACTCATCAGCCCGAATATTCTTTGATTCTCCTAAAAGCGCCGTCTTTTCCGAAGACTTACTCTTAGACGGAGAAAGAAACCAACGAACTTTCTTGGCTCCGTTAACGTCATTTCGATTCTCACTCTTCTTCTTCCTCGCAACTTTCCTCGGCTCATCTTTAAACTTCTTAGCAACTTTCTCGTTCTCCTTCCTCTTCACCGGAGGTGGCAATGGCGGCTTCTTGGAATCTTCTACAACCTTCTCGAACCTTTTAGACCTCGAAAAAGACGATGATCCGACAAGTTCCCTCTTCTCGTCGAGCTTGTCGAGATACAAAAGCAAGAAATCATGTTTCTTTTGTTGGTTATTAGAGCTCCATCTCGCCGAGGTTGGGACTATCTCACGGAAAGAAACGGAAGCTTTGACTCTCCGGCACTGACGTTGGCCGTCCTTCTCGTCTTCATCTTCTTCTTCTTCCTCGTGACCTCTTAGGATGTAGTCCATGAAGTTAACGGATTTGCTCCTTGTGACAGCCGAACCGGAATCATCAAAGTACCGGAACCGTTTTGATCCCGGTGCAGGATGATCTAGCCCCATGAGTTTGGCTACAACGTTGGGAGGAGGAGGAGGTGGTGGTGGAGGGTGAAGAGAGACGTCGTCGTTTTGGGTTTCGGTTTCGGTTTTGATCTCTTTCTTTGGCTCTTCGATTTCTTCGTAAGGGATTAGTAGTTGGAGTGTTTCGTCAGAGTCGAGAATGTTGTCGGAAGGGTGAGTTTGTTGGCTACCGGAGCATAGAAGACGGCGAACTACCGCCGTGAGGCAGCCGGTCTTAGGGTTGGCTCGTTGGGTCATGGTGATGGCTGATGATGATGATGGTGATGATGATAGTGCTTTAAGTAGGAGTGTGTGTGAAAATGTGCAAACACGTTCTTGGTATTTATAAGGACAAGAAGAACAGACAATTTCTCATTATTTGCGAGGAGGACCCACCAACTAATTAAATTAAAGCAAAACAATATGGTAAAACAAAAGTATAGTGAAACTTTGATGTTTGAAGTGAAATTGTGGTTTAATAAACGTTTATTATTCAGTTTATATTAATTGGTCACTCAATTTAAGCAATCGTATTAAGTCACTTCAGAAATTTTAAGATCAAACAAAGTTACTGTTATGTTTTTTTTTTGCAATGAATAAAATATGTTTTCAATTAATGATTTCACCATTATATTTCACTTTATTACTTATCGATATGTATCTTATGACATATATAATAGATTAATTATTGGTAACATATAAATGAAAAAGTACCCAGGATCAATAAAAAAAAAAAAAAAAAGCTCTATCCAAAGTGATATGCTGGAAAGATTCTGTTTTTTGAAACTCAACGGAAGAAAAGAAACTTTGATACTTTTGAAAAAATCAGGAATTAATTATGGCCTCGTCAATTATTCAAAATAAAGGTCATGTAACAACTTCGAGATCTTTTCCTTCACGTAAGTTTTATATTTAGAATGGTCAAGCTTTTAACAAAATGTTATTATATGTGATTTACTTTTCAAACATGTATAATTTCAGGTTGAAACTTGAATTTTGAAGTAACTTATGTATATAGTTATATCAAACCGATAAGTGTACACACATTCTAAACTAAAATGAGAATTTAGCTTTTGTCGGGCGTTAGTATATTTTAACCAAACTTGAAATGTGAATTTTTAACGATAGTATATTTTAAAAAAAAAAAACTATGAATTTAGCAAGAATGACAGATCAACAAAAATAAACTTGTAGTTTGTTTATCAATGTGTACTGCGCGGTAAAACAATTCATTTTAAGATATAGAAGATTGAAATTTAAGCAGATATTTCATATATGTAAGTTGGCGGGATCAAGCTTTCGAATAGTAAACAGGATCTTTACAAGATGAATATTATAAAGTTGCAAAAGGTCTCTTCGAAACCTATCTAGTTCGCTTTATTATTTATTAAACATATGTATATAACATTAGAGGCTTAGAGCAACAAACTTTAAGGTTTTCATTGATTTTTTGTCGCCAAGTATAAGGAATTAATAATGTATGATTAATCTGATCATTACATTTACACACGATTAGTCTGTTTCGTTATATAAATCCTCTTGTTTTATCTGTTTATCTTTGGCCATTTAGAAAGCTTTTTTTTTTATCATTGGTATAATAGATGCACAACGGGTAACACAATGTATCACTTCTTTTAATTCATTAAGATGTTATGTTTTCAATAAATGTCAAATAAATAGTTTTCTTTAAAAAATTGATAGCTTCACTATCTAAATATTTGTAAGGCATGATCGTCAAGATCAAAGATTCCAAATTCAAATTCGAAGTGTAAAATGAAAAAGAAGAGAATGGTAGTATAAAATATTTACAGATTCTTTTTTTACTTTTCCTTTTTCTTCCTTTTTCAACTTTTTTTTTTTAAAATAAGAAACACGAGAAAATCTTATCTGCGTGGCGTCATTTTCAAAGGTGAAGTAGAAAAAATACTTGGGTCGCTTAGTTCACACCGGAAAAAGAGGCAACGAAAGCAGAGAGACAAATCTAAATAATGTCTGACACGCGTGAAAAATATTACCACAAAGAGACTTGCCTTAATTCCCTTTCAACTCTCGACCAATTATGCATATGTGTTTCTTTCTTCTAAGCAGCTAAATTAATTTACTTTTTATAAGTAAAATGGAAATATTAACACATTACAACTTGTTGATAAGAAAAATAGTCATCACAATTTCATGTTGGTCATAGCTTTTCTGCTCTCACACATTTATTTATTAGTTATTCGAACAAAATTTGCAAAACTGAATTCCTCTGAGGCTACTGAAACTCTTTCAGATTTAGTTTTTTTTTTTTGATAAACCCTATCGGCTATCCGGTTGGCCCCGGTAGAAACGCACCAAGGTGCTACATAGTGGACCGGTCCACCGTGTTAACGGTTAGGCCCTTACGGGCTACCACTCTGTCTATCCCGAGTTTGGAATGCTTTCCGACTAAGTGTCAGGGGTAGTCAGGCCGCCTGCATTTCTAGCTACCAGGTAAACCAATTGGGCCAAGACCCAACTGACAGACTTTCCAAACAAATGTGTTTTTGTTTCCAGAGAAAAACTCTTCCAGATTTAGTTATTTACCATATGACATTTGTCTTATACATCACTCGTCGTCGTAGTTTCCAGTGTTTACGCAAATTTTGTTCGAACTCCTTATTGGATTGTACGTAGATGTGAATGCCTCAATCTGGAAGAATGTTCGAAATCTCATTATTAGCCCAAACATGGACAGAAATAACTTTTTAATTAGTAAGCTATATATAGCTGTATTTGAAATGATAAACAACGTTGGGGATGTAGCTCAGATGGTAGAGCGCTCGCTTAGCATGCGAGAGGTACGGGGATCGATACCCCGCATCTCCATTTTTTATTTAACCCATTTTTATTCGTTGTCTAAAATAATCTTAAATACCCTAAGATTAATGACGAAAAGTATGTTGCAACAATTCCCACTACATATGCAATTATTAATTGCGAAAGTAGAATCCTAATGATTTGTGTGTTGCCTTTAATAATTGTTTTAGTTATCATCAATACTAAAAACAACTAACAGGAACTATTGTTGGTTTTACAAGCAACACCAACTTTTGTTTAGTTGGTGCCTGTTTATTTCGTTTTCATGTGCCCTTTGATAAATTGAATAATAAGATAATTTTTCCTTAACCCTGACATCGACGGCGAAGATAACAATTTCTTAACCATCTGCTCCTCACACTTAAACAACTTTTGAAGAACGATGATTTGTTTAGCGATTTGATTAACACTTCTAATCAAGTAAACCAGTCTCTTATGTAACTTCCGTGTGTGTCAAGTGTCATGTAAGTCACTCTATGTTTTTTCCAAAGATGTTTGTTTCTATACATGTTTAAGCTTGAAAGTTGAAACCAAAGTTCTAGGTATAAAAGAAAACAATAAATCGACTCAATGCAATTTGATTTGATTCAAATTTGTTTGTGTATAACTGTCATTTTTTCTTTTCTAGATAACGAGACTAATGTGTGTGTACATACAACTCAATAGTTGAATAAAGATGATAATAATCTGCATATATTGTGATCACTAACGCCAATTCTTTTCAAATTTTTCTATATTGAACATGAACTTTTTCAATTTTTACAGAACATAAAGATTACTTGATTGAATATATACAACTAAACGGAAGACATTTTGGAGATTTTATATATATATATATATATATATAAAAGACCTAATGAATAACAATGTGTATTTCACGTTTACAGATTCTAATCAATAGACAAAACCCAATCATAAGTCATAACCTCCCTAACCACATCTTTATTAAATTGGGAAAAAGATGGAAGCAACACATCCAAACATGCCTTTAGCTTCACTCCTACTCAATCCATAATTTCCCAAATATAATCCCAACACTCCCTTAACACCTTTCCCTCTAATTCCAAAAATCCGACACGTTTTCAACATCAAATTACCGCATTTGCCACTATGAGCTTCTTAATTCCTAACAGAGGAGCAGGAGGAACCAAGATTCCTCTTTCCATCATTGTTCTCGTTCTTTGTGGTTTCATGTTCTTCATTCTCTTATACACCGAAAGAATCAGCTTGATGTCTTCTTCTTCCTCTTCGTCTTCATATTTTTTCAAGCTTAAGTCTTGTCCGAGGAAAGACAACAGCTCGAAACCTAGTAAGCACATACGAATCTCAAAACTCTGTTTTTTAATCCAGTTTTGGTGCTTATTCCCTGTGACGCAAGTAATCTCCTAAAATTCCTCTAATTTTACTTGTTTTTCAGAGGAGAAAATTCAAAAGGAGAGATCAGAAATTTTAGAAGTGCTTGACGACAGGTTCGAATTCGATCCAGAAGAGTGTAATGTTGCAGCTGGGAAATGGGTTTATAATAGCTCAATCGAACCACTTTACACCGATAAATCATGTCCGTACATTGACCGTCAATTCTCTTGTATGAAAAACGGGCAGCCAGAAACTGATTACCTTCGATGGGAGTGGCAGCCTGATGACTGTACAATTCCACGGTAACAATAAGCAAAAGCTAAGTCTAGTTATAGAGGTTTGAGACATAATCTTTAATTGCTCGTGTTAAAACAGATTTAGTCCGAAGTTAGCTATGAACAAGCTCAGAGGAAAAAGACTGCTATTTGTCGGAGATTCTTTGCAACGAAGCCAATGGGAATCATTCGTGTGTTTGGTGGAATCAATAATACCCGAAGCGGAAAAATCAATGAAGCGTAGCCGAAAACACTTTGTCTTTAAAGCAAAGGTACGTTCAGTGATCGTATCTTGCGCTACAACGCAAACCTTGTTAGGTCAGATACCACAGTACCTTGTGTTACAAGCAAAGCTTAGATTTTTATTTTCCTCTGTTTGTCTTGATTTCATAGGAATACAATGCGACTATAGAATTCTATTGGGCACCGTATATCGTCGAGTCAAACACAGATATACCTGTGATATCAGATCCGAAGAAAAGGATAGTGAAAGTGGACTCAGTGAAAGATCGAGCTAAGTTTTGGGAAGGAGCGGATATTTTGGTTTTCAACACTTATGTTTGGTGGATGAGTGGTCTCCGCATGAAAGCTCTGTGGGGTTCGTTTGGAAATGGAGAGAGTGGTGCGGAGGCGTTAGACACACCAGTGGCTTACAGGCTAGGGCTCAAGACATGGGCTAATTGGGTTGACTCTACCGTTGACCCTAATAAGACGAGAGTCTTCTTCACGACCATGTCTCCTACTCATACTAGGTAAACATTAAATTGCCAAGTAGCACCAGTTAAACTAAAGTGTAATGCTTTGTGATTAACGTAAAGTGTTATGTAAAACGTTCAGAAGTGCGGATTGGGGAAAGCCAAACGGCACGAAGTGTTTCAACGAGACGAAACCGATAAAAGATAAGAAGTTTTGGGGAACTGGCTCTAACAAGCAGATGATGAAAGTCGTGTCAAGCGTCATCAAACACATGACCACGCACGTGACTGTCATCAACATCACGCAGCTCTCTGAGTATCGCATAGACGCTCACACATCAGTTTACACCGAGACAGGTGGCAAGATCTTAACGGCTGAGGAGAGGGCTGATCCTATGCATCACGCTGATTGTATACATTGGTGTCTACCTGGATTGCCCGATACATGGAACCGGATCTTATTGGCTCATTTGTAAATCAAGCTAGGAGGAACCTCAGGGTTAAACGGGAAAAACCCAAATCCTCTGTTTTTTCTCCCCGATTTGTTTGTTTCAGTGTATGTGATTGTCTGTCGTCAATTTTCATAAGATCAAACAGACTCGGCCCGTTTATTATGATCTTGAAGCGACTAAAACGAACAAATATTACAAGGCCTATATGGGCCTGGCCCGTTAAAGAAGGTACTGGCTTATTTGTAAATTGAGGGAGAGACAAGGGTAAAATAGGAATTCCAGGACTAAGAGTTTTTAGGTTAATGTTGACTAGTGGGTAATATGTACCGTTGGATTTTAATTGAGAACATCGTCACCGTCCGATGGGAGACCCAAGCCAAATAACGCAAAAACTCATTCGCCGTCACGAAGAAGTCGTCGAGGTCTATATAATGGACAAATCTGGAATTATGTAAAATAGGGACTTGACGCAGATCTTGTTGGGTCTCGAACCTTCCTCTTCGTTTGCATCAGGTTAGGCCGATTACAACGAAATCTGCTCCCTTTTTATACGATCTCTTGATTCATCTGAGATTTTTGTGCGATTTTGTTTCGTTTTGGTTTGTAAAGTTGTGATTTTTCGAGTTTCTGTCTCTTATTGTCCTGTTGAATCCAGTTTTCTTTAGAAATTGTTGTGATTTTGGGGGATGATTATTGACGTTAGGGTTTCGTTGTTTGATAGGAAAGAGCGATCGATAATGGCGGGAGGAGGAAACTTTATTGCGAGAGTGATCTCATACGTTGCAAACGAGTTCATAGTTAACGGTTTGGCAAACAGGTACTTTCTCATTCTTTATAATCGATTTAGGGTTTTTTTTTTTTTTTAATTGTGGATAGATCTCAAAAAGTAAGCTTCTTTCTCTGGCTGATTGGATTGAATATATGTTCCTTATCGGCTCGTTCATATTGAAGCGAGATCATCTCAACTTACAGCTGGTCTGCTACGTGATTTACCATACGCTGCAGCGTAGGAAGTTTGAGACATTTTGTTTTTTCTCTCTGAATAAAAGAATTGGAATTTGTTTTGGAATTGTTTTACTTTAGGTTCTTGAGCCTCATGCTCTGCATCTTTGGGTGTTTGCAATTTGTAAATTCCTTTTTGCGTTTGCTTAAAGCTATTCGATGATTTTTAAGTGAACATTTTGTCCTGAGCTTTGTTCTCATGGGTTTGTATAGGTTTTCGATTTTTCAATATGTTTTTTTTTCTGCCGGTGATGATTTTCGTAAGGCTTGTCCTGATCAAAGACATGACGTTAAACGTGAATTTAAGAGACTGAGGCTGTTTTTTTTTGTGTTTGTTTTTCTTTATTACCTCCTTTTGATTTTGTTTGTTAGTTTGATGTGATTCCTTAGTAGTCTCAGAGACTCCCTTGCGCACTAACTGATGGATCTCCAACTGTTTGGTTTCTGCTTTGGCAGTCATGCTTTCCAGAGATTTGCTGTGAGGACTTCTAAGAGAATAGAAAACCTCTCTAAAATGGGTTAGCATCTCTAAACTTGAACACAATCATGATTGGTTTGCTTTTTAACCCACAGTCATATTGAATAGTGGATTTATTGATTTCCAGCTGCAGAGAACAGGGAGAAAGTCGCTCAGCATATGGAAGAATTTTCCAAGAACATGGACGTGAGTTTATTTATACGATCTTTCACAGTTCCTACATAAGACGGTGAAATTTATAACTTAACAATTTTGTTTTCTTTATTTGTAACTTTTGCAGTCGATGAAGAAACCCTGATTAGTCTGCTGAGGAATCTTACGAAGTCGTAAATCACATGGGTCAGCTCAAGTAGAGAGGTCTGTTTATCTTTGTATAAAGAATGTTAAAAAGTAATAAGCTTGTGGATTAAACAACCAGTGATCTTTTGGTGCTGTTTCTCTTCTTTTAAACCAAACTCTACCGGAGTGACTAACCCTTTGTATGAAGTTCTTCTGTCAAGGAATTTCTGTTGTGTCTTTTGCTTCCTACTTATTTTTGTAGAGCACATTTATTGATTTTTTTATGTTATGGGCTGGCTTTGATTTTAATGTGTAAATATGTGCCCAATTTCAAAGTTAATGAAACAGACTTGTCCGTGCTGTGGAATTCTCAGGTGTAGAGCATAATTGTATAGTATCTAAATCGGCCCAATCTACTTAACATTTTTGAAGTACAAATTTGCTCAAAGCCAATCGGGTCGGGTTTTTAGTTAGATTTTAACCCGGATTTTTTTTTGACCCGACTCATTGGCCAATCACATCTCTCGGATCTTTTTAAATAAGACTTTCCAAAAAAAAATCAAATAATTTGACTAAATATTCGCTTAGTTACATTCCTAATCTACCAAATCCTAACAGTATGTAAATGATCCGCATTAATCGTTACAATTAGATCCTTCCTTATTTGAAACTTTCCTACATAAAATCAAAAGCCAATCGGATCTTGCTAATCCTACCAAAAAACAAATTAAAACGACATTAGTTATTTGATTATGGGTCGCAATCAATAATACAGATTCTGATAATATAACAGATATGTTAATCACAACCTATTTAATTGCTAAATATATTCGGCAAATATCTTTTGTTTCCTAATAAAATTGAACAATATAACATCTACATTCAATAGCAACAAGAACAATTGGAAATTTTGCATAAATAAACGATTTTACTCTTATTTTCTATAGCATCTATGTGGTATATTATATAACTTTTCGATTTTAAAGATTTTTAATAGCATATTTCCATTTACAGCTAGAATTAATATTCGTAGATATCTTAATTTCATTGATTTTTGGAACTAATTCCATAACAACCTTAATTATTATTTATTTAGTTTTCTAATTCTAGGCAATTTATAATTAACTCAAGAGATTTTGCTTGCTCAAAAAGATTTTGCGCAAATGTATCATACCTAAACCTAATCGTATATGTCCTCTATATATATCCATTTCATTTCCAAGAGAAAACATCACTTCTAAACAAAGTTAAATTTTTTTTCCAAAACACCTTCAATTCTTTTCATCCTAAAGTTACCTCTTTTTCATTTTCCATTCGTATGGTTCTTCGTGACATGAACAAAGATTTGACTGGCGATTCTGTCTTAGAATCCTTATAATCTGAAAGCAAAAAGGAATTCAGAGAGATACTACATAATTAGTTTTAGCGGATGAAAGGTGGTTCAATCGATTTCTATCTAACTCTTTTACTATCATTCTTTTTCTACCATTTCTCAAAAAAAATTGACATCTTGGTTTTGTTTTTCTGATTTGTTTCTTCTCTATTTGTATCTTTGAATTGTTAGGTTGATAGGATTGCAACAACCTATAAACAACGCTAAACCAATGATAACTCCCTCAAGTTTTCAATCAGCAAAACAAATGGACTCATCAACCTATGTCAATCATCAAAACAAACATCAGGACCAATCAAACTAAACACATGAAGCATCAAGTAAGCCTATCTGGAGAGGGCAAGCACGTAAATAATTCTCATCGACATATTAAATAACCAATATGAACTATCACATCACGAAAAGCTTTATAGATATTTCCTATTGACAAAGTTAATGAATATCACCAAGACACCAACGATCAACAACCATTTCTTAATATATCACAAAAATGAAATCAATAAAATCAGAGTCAATGACTAACCAAATCATTCCAAATTTCCCCTACTATGCATTCGACCCATGACTGCAACGGAGAAGTGATGTTCCTCTCACTGAGATCGTTCTTCCTCGGTTGGTTTCTCCCGGCTGCGACTCCGCTTAAGAGTATAAAAAAACTGAATATTAGTAATCAGAAGCATTATTCCCGATTCATTTCCACAACGATTACAAAAACCTAAATGAGATTTTTTTTTTTGACCAAGCAAATTTGTAGATTAGAAATCAGAAGCATTATTTCCGATTACATTGATTGACGTATTATACAAATATATTTCCAGTTCTAACTGTTATTCACAATCAATTTACGCTATTGATGAAATTAATTCGATTATTACTAAGCAATAACTATGAAATTGTCTTACCTTTGAATCGAGACAAAATGAACATTTAGATCGGATAGGTTGTTTTCTGGTCTTCATGGGATAAATTGGATCTTCGTTCTCGCCTAGATTGTCTTCAATTGAATTGTTCTTCATCATTTTGCAATCACATCTTCGAATCAAAACCTCAGCGTGTAGTTGGAGTCGAACTAAGATCTCGGGAAATTTGGGTTTGGATCTGGAGTTGTTGAACAGGTTCTTCGCTAATTTTCAATGCACATGTCTAATCGAACAAGAAAATTGCAGATTCTTGAAGGTTTTCAAAAGAGATTGAAAAAGACAGAAGAAGATGAAAGAGATTTGTTCGGTTCTTTGTTTTCATTGTTTTCTCAGGTAAAAAAAAATATTATCTATACCCTTTATTCGATATAATTAATTGAAAAATATAGAAATTTAATTTGTCTAAGTATTTTTTTTATCCTTTCTATTTATTTATTTTGTTACACTTAAGGACATACATATAAATTAAATAAATAAGTAAATTTCCTACAAAAAATTACATTTACCACATTTATTTTCTTTTGTCCAATAAACCAGTTTATATCAAGTGTGAAATATTAATTTAAATAATTAATTGAGCTATTATATAGGAAACAAAAAAAAATTCCTAACCAACCAATAATAAACTATATAAATAAAAGAATATTATTTTAAACTGATAAATAATACATATGTAAATTTATACCCGCGGTACATTGTGACTTAAATAAAATATGTGTGTTTTATATCTAATTGTTTATAAATGAAACCTTCAACATACTTACCGTAACCTATAAATATAAATCTTTTTAAATAAAAGTATTATTGAAAAGAAAAATAATAAAATAATGTTTAATTTTATGCGACGGGTTATACGGTATGACAGGTTTAGTTCGATTAATTCGGAACGGTATACCACGGGTAAAAATCCTAAAATTAACAATCAAAATACAATTATACAATTTTAAACACAAAACAAAACAAATACAACTTAAATTTAAAAATTGAAGTTAAAAAAAAAATCAAACCGCGGTATACAACAAAAAATATTATACACAATAAATTCATCAATTTATAAAAGAAAAATCAAATAATTAACCCGCGGTATACCGCGGGTCATATCCTAGTCGATCGACCAATTATAACTGGATACAGAGAGTAAATATCACCCTGAAAAAAAGAAAGAACGAATAAATACAGGATACAGTAGAGGATATGACGTTAGCTAATTCGAGTCCAAGTGGGATTAGGATTATGATTTTGAATATCCATGTTTATATATATATATATATATATATATATATAAACCGTTCTCTGGAAGTAAAAATCCTCTCTTCATCAGAGAAAAATAAACCAAAAGCCTACCTACGTACACGCCTCTTTTGCTAGAAGCCTAGAACGACGACGATGCCTAAAAGAAAGAGACTCATTGATCACATTATCAGTACGACGACTAAACGAGCTTGGTAGAAATACCCCAAGAGCAGAAATCTCGAGACCCAAGTATCCTGGTTTGCTATCCTCGTCTTGAAGACGACACAAAAGCTTCTCTTATGACATTGAGTTTGGGAGCAGCGTCAGTTTCGTTTGAGAACCATACTCAATACCCTGTCCAATCAACGACTATACTAACCCGTTTAAGAAATACACAGAGTTGCGACGGTCTGACTTGCATATATTCAGAAACCTTTATGTATGTGCTCGATCCCGCAACTAGATGGTACCGTAGACTACCCGAGGCGAGATTTCAAGCACTGTATTGTGATACAACGAACCGGGTTTCAGAGCCTTTGCTAGGATTCGGTAAAGACAACATCAAAGGAATATACAAGTTGGTTTGGTTGTATAACTCTGATTGTGTAGACCTAGACGGCCAAACTAATACATGCGAGGTTTTCTCTTTCAACAACAACAAAGGTAGGACGTGATTGTTTCCTCTCCTCATCCAATACTACATCATAAAGTCCCGGCTGATCCCTCCATTGGTTTATTGATGCCGTCACAGAAACACAAGTTTTATCTTTCGATCTTCACACTGAAACTTTTAAGGTAATGGCCAACATACCGGTTGGCGATGCACCTCATGAGCGGATCGCGATGTGCACCTTAAATGACCGCCTATGCTTATCGGAAGATAAGGGAGACACACAAACTATATGGTCGTTAAATCAAGCCAATATGACATGGCACAAAACTTACTCCGTGCAACTCTCTCTTGTATTGAAGAGGAATATCTTAACTCATGGCCACCGATCACATCCCTTTTCAACAACAGGTTATTGCTTTATGATTGCAGCGACGACGAGCCCAAGATGGTGGTATACAATTATCGATTAAATTCATATGGTGAAATTTTCACCGCTCAATATTTGATATGTGGCATTTCTTATTCTGAAAGCTTAATCACTCTTCCATAAACTCTTTTAACTTTAATTTTTATTTTTATTTTAGCATATAGCAGTTTAATTATTGTCTAGTAAATTTCATTGGTATGTTGACAGCAAATCCTCTTTTTATATATACTTTAATTTTTTCTTCACAGAACTCCATTATTTAGAAGGCATACCTCTTTGCACTTTTTTTTTTTCTTTTTTTATGCAATTTCCATCTCTTGGTTTAGTTCAAATCTCATCCTGATTCTTATGAAGGATACGTTCATATGGACTTCTTTGCTCTCGTCTACAATAGTAACTAGGAAGCGAAGCTTTGACCTCACAGAATTCAATATTTCAGTCAGCGTGTTTTGCAACTACCTAGTTATATCGTGAATTATAAGAACATCTTCAAACTTAAAATAATTTCTGTTAATAAATAAAGAGTTATGAAAATATTGAATAGTTTTGGCAGCCATGAGGACTTCAAAAAGAATAAAATAATGAAAATATCAAACTTACACTTAAAATAATCACATCTACAGTTTTCAGAGATTTGCTCTGAGGACTTCAAAAAGAATAGAAGACATCTCTAAACTTCGTTTGTGTCTTAATCTTTAGCACAAGAATATAATGTGTATCTAT